CCCCCCAGCCCTACTAAAGTCACCTCAGCAAGAGCGCAGCCATCTTGGGTTCCGGCCTGGACGGAAGTGACGTAGGCGGTCCCGCCCCGTGTGGGCGGGGCCGGCTGGGTAGAGGGGTCGGGTCACGTGACAAACGGGGGCTGGGGTGCGTCTCCGCGTGCGTAGTCCTGCCAGGATCGCTTGCTGGTTTTCCTCCGCTTCTTTCGTCTCCTCCCCCGCCTCCCTCCGCTGATTTCTACCCGATTTTGCCAGATTCTCGGCCGAAAACGCCGCTGGCTCGGAGTCTGCAGCCTACGTTTCACCTGCGTCCCTTTCCTTTTGTGTCGCTCTACCGAGCAGCCGCCTGGCCCAGATTCTTCGCCGAGGACTCCGCAGTCTGTCTCACTCCTCCTCCTTCCTAAAAACGGCCCCAAAACATCTTGGTTGGCCGACGGAGACACTCGGGAAAAGATACTTTGGGCCCACCCTCGTTTTAATGTGACGCTACACTCGGGGATGCACAAGTTAGGACCCAGGTTGGGGAGTGTGAGTAGGGGTCGCGAGAGAACCTCCAGGCCACTATTCCCAGGGACCTGGAGCCTCCTCTGCCCTCGTCTGTGAGGCCCCCACCGCTCCGGGGCTTGGGCTGCCGCCTGAGCTGGACGCCCACTAGCCAAAGACAACGCGCCCTTGTCCTTTGTCTCAAGAGCCATGTGGGCGACACCCACAGCCAGAAGAACCTGGGGTGAGGGGAGGAACCCGCTTTGATTTATGTGTATATAAAGAGTTTTGAAGAACCCAAGCACAAGAATCGATTGCAGCACACTGACGGCTGGACAGAAAAAGTGCAAGTGAGAAAGGAACGGAAGCGTCCCAAAGTTCTTGACCCTTTTTGGAGGGTAAAGTGGGGAGGCGTGAACTGGATAGCCCATAGCAACTCTTCTACAATGAAACGTATTCAGTTACATTAATATTCAGGTTTTATTTTAACACTCCTGCGTTTTTTTCTTTCAGGATTTAAATAGCACGAAATCACTTATGTCTTCGTCAAATGAATGATCCTATTTTGCATTTCTATAATGCTGACAAAGAGCTTTTATTCTTTTTTTAAACTTTTCCAGTGTGCACTCTAGAGAAAAAGAGGGAACATGAGAAAACTCCCCCCCACACACACACACACACACCATCATGGGACATGACTATGCTGCAATCTGTTCTCACCTCTCTCTCCTTTCTGAAGTTTGAGCACACATGCACCTGTGCCCAGGCCGCAAGGTCTAGGATTGGATTCTTAGGGTCTACCATATAGGATTCAAGGACTGGCTGTCTGAACCACCACAACACTGGCTGACCTGACAAAGAACTTTCCTAGACCCCAGGTTGACACTCAACCCTGGGGCACTTAGAGGCACTATCAGGCAACCTTCTATCCGGTGTAAGGCTTGCCTCTGCAACTTCCTTAACAGCTGATTTTCAAGGTTCTGCTCTGTAGCAGCACTGGAAGCAGTGCTGGCTTCCTCAAAAGACTAGTTTAGTTTAGCAAACAGCTTAATCATTAAAAGGCTGTTATAGGAGCCAGCAGATGGTGTGGTTAGGGCACTGGAATCTCACACAGCTGACTACTGTTTGAATCCTGGACATGGTGGCTTACTTTCTGTCTCTTTGCTGAGCACATATACCCTATAGCAAAATTAGAATAATAATAAACAAATATTTTTTAAAAATAAAGTTGGAAGGGGCCGGCAGGTGGCATGGTGGTTAAGGGTGCTGGACTCCCACATGGCCAACCATGGTTCCAGTCCTGGACCTGGTGGCTTCCTTTCTCATTTTCTCTCTTTCTATATTCCTCATTTCTGGTCAAATTTAAATGAATAAATAAATAAAAGCTAAGTAAAAAAATAATTTTAAAAAGTAATAAAGTTGGAAAATAAAGCTGTTATATTAAAAAATAGTTTTCTGCTATTGAACTTGCAATCATCGGTCCTACCTACTTCAGCCCCCTGGAGCTTCACGTTAACAAATCCAATGAGTACCTCTTTTTCTTGTAGAGAGATTTTTTTTTTGAGAGGTTTTTGCTATAGGGCACGTACACTCACCAGAAAGAGAGACAGAAAAAAAGGGAGAAATCACCCCCCCCGGGGGTGGGGGGTGGCCACATTGCAATCCTTTCTCCTCCATTCTCCTCTCAGGATCTTGGGCACTCACACATATGCCCAGCGTGAGTTTAAGCCACTGGGTCTGGGACTCGAACTGTGGTCAACTACGTAGGAGTCCAGTGACATAGCCAATGGCTGGTCTTGTTTCTGGAGATATTTTTAATATGGAACACCTGTGTTTACCGGCAAGCCAGACAGGGCAAGTCCCCCATGGGAATCGCCATGCTGCAATCCATTCTCCTCTATTCTCCCCTCAGGATTTTGAGCATCGATGCACATGCACCTGGTGTTAAGTTTTAAGCAGCTGGGTTTGGGACTTGAACCATGGTTTACCATGTGGGAGTCCAGCACCTTAACTACTACCCCACCTGATAGCCCCAGAATGATTACCTTTTTCACTTACCTCTTTAAATATTCATGTCATTTAGGGCCAACAAGTGGCATGGTGGTTTAGGTTCTGGACTCCACATGGCCGACTGAGTGGTTTGAGTCCTGGACCCAGTGGCTTGAAAATCATGCCAGGCATGTGTACATGTGTGCCTAAAGTCCTGAGAGGAGAAGGGATCGCAGGATGCCATCCCTCCTGGGGAATGATTTTTCACTTTCCATCTTTCTGTCTCTCTCCTGTGGGTGCACATGTGCTATGGCAAAAAAGAAAAAAAAAAAAACTAAAAAGAAAAATTTGGGGGGAAGAGGTGTTATTTTTTTATATTTATTTTTTGCTATAGGGCACGTGTGCTTGCCAGAGAGACAGAAAGCAAGAAATCACCCCCTGGGGGATGGCCACGCCACAATCCCTTCTCCTCTCGGGATATTGGGCATACACGGACACATGCCCAGCATGAGTTTAAGCCACCAGGTTCGGGACTAAAACCATAATTGACTAGATGGGAATCCAGCGACATAGCCATTACGCCATCTGCTGGTCCCCTAAAATTTTAAAAATAATTTCATTTAACATAACATCTGCATTGATTACCAGAATCTGTAAAAAGTACTTAGGGGATTCAGAGACACAGACGTGCATGTTGTTATTAAGAAGTTATTTCTGGGACCACGGATGGTGTAATGGTTAAGTTGCTGGACTCCCACGTAGTCGACCATGGTTCGAGTCCTAGACTGAACAGTTTAAACTTATACCAGGCGTGTGTGCGTGCTTACCCAAGATCCTGAGAGGAGAATGGAGAAGGGATTGCAATGTGGCCATGCCCTCAGGGGGTGATTTCTCACTTTCTGTCTTTCTGTTTCTCTCTGTCTCTTCGGCTAGCACATGCACCCTATAGCTCTACAGAAAAAAAAAAAAATTCCGAGGGCATCTGTGCACACTGGACAGAGAGAGACAGACACACTTGGGTGTGGTCACACCTGAAGTCCTATATTTTTTCATCCTATTGGGATTTGGGGTTGATTTCTCACTTTCTGTCTTTTTGTCTCTCAGGCAAACACATACGTCCTATAGCAAAAATCTCTCTTAAAAAAAATAAATAAATAAAAGAAAGAAACTTAGGGTTGGCAAGTGTCATGGTGGTTAAAGGCGCCAGACTCCCACATGGCCAACTGTGGTTCGAGTCCCAAACTTGGCAGCTTGCTTTCTCACTTTCCCTTACACTTACTCTCACTCTGCCCCTTTCTGGTCATATTAAAAATAAATAAAGTTAAGTAAGTTAATTCTCAAAAAAAAAAAAAGAAGAAGAAGAAGAACCTGTTGTCTGGGGCCAGCAGGTTACAGTGTAGCCATCCCCCAGGGGATGACTTCTCACTTTCTATCTCTCTGGTGAACACTTGCGCATAAATAGCAAAAATCTCTCAAGAAAAAAAACGTTATTGCCATAGCAGGATTAATAAATACAACAAAGGAAGTAGCGACCTATGAAAGGGGTATAAAGGGATGAGGAGACGCGGAGAAAGTGATTACTTACAGCTGAGAAGGTGGGATTAGGTAGGAATGTTGACTACAACAATCTGTTAACTTTTGCTGTTGATTATTTTGCCTGTGGAGTTTATGATCAAGCCCCATATTTAGAGCATTACACCCAAATCTAATACAATCACCAAACTTACCAGGACTGTGGTCTGAGGAAGTAATGGGAACGTATCAGGAAGCTATGCCTTTACATGGACAAGCTCACAATGGTCTCAGATCAGGACAATCCTCACTTAAATTGACCTCTACAGTCCATAAGTAGTGGGACTAAATCACTGAAATTCAGATATTTAAATTAAGTCCTTTATCACCAGGGTTTATGGTCAAAGTAAGCAGGAGGCTGTACCAGCCAGGTGGCATGGTGGTTAAGGTGGCTGGATCCCATATGGCTGACACCGCAGTTCAAGTTCCAAACCCACAGCTTAAAAAACATACGGGGGGAGGGGTGGTGCAATGGTTAAAGGTGCTGGACTCCCATATGGCTGATCACAGTTCTAGTCCATGACTTGGAGGCTTGCTTTCTTACTTTCCCTCTCTCTCTCTTTTCTCTGTCTGTCTGTCTGTCTCTGGTCAAATTTTTAAAAAATAAATAAGGGGCTAGCAGGTAGCATAGTGGTTAAGGGCACTGGACTCCCACATGGCTGGCTGTGGTTCAAGTCCTAGACCTGGTGGCTTGCTTTCTCAGTTTCCATCTCTCTCTTTTTCTCTCTGTCCCTCTCTAGCCAAATTAAGCTAATTAAATAAAGTGAAATGGAATAATTCTTGAAAAAATATTAAGACAATAAATAAATAAAATAAAGTTCCAGAAAATATTCTTTTTAAAAAACAAAAAACAAGGGACCAGCAGTTGGCATAATGACTATGTCTCTGGACTCCCATGTAATCAACCACTGTTTGAGTACTGAACTCAGTGGCTTAAACTTACACTGGGCACGAGTACATGTGTGCCCAAGATCCCAAGAGAATGGAGGGATTGCGGCATGGCCATCCCCCACTGGGGAGTGATTTCTTGCTTTCTGTCTTTCTGGCGAGTGCGCACACCCTGTAGCAAAAACTT